GTACAGTAACGAAGTACTTGTACTTCGTTACTTCCCACCACTGCATACAACCAACCTTGTAAATATTTTGTAAATATTAAAGGGCCTTAAGAGCATTTAACCAGGGGCTACGTTTACAAGTTGAATAATGTTATTTCATAAAAGTGTGAGGATTTTTTTCTCTTTATGTGATTATATTTCATGTTTTTTATGCAATGCTTCGTTCGTGCTTTTTATGNATTTGTTGTATTTATCTATNCTCCTTTATTTATTTCTGTAAAGCACTTTGATCTACCCTGTGTATAAAAGGTGCTTTACAAATAAATCTGCCAAGTCATACAGTGTGTTGATTCTGGAGCTGTAGCACACATTTGTTTTGGTCTCTGGCGTGTTAAAGAAAGATGTGATGTTTATGCTTCATTGATTCTCTACAGATCAAAAATAATCTGTGGCAGTCAGAGTCTTATGGTGATCCAACTGTTAAAAGAAACAAAAAAACCACAACATTCTAAAAAAAAGAAAATCTGGGTTTCTTTTACTGCTACTTAAAAATTATATCAGGATTTGCGGTACAGCATAAAACATTTGAGTTCCTTATCATTATACATTTACTAAATGACAGAGAGTTTTTACACAATTATAAAATGGCAAAAAAAAGCTGTTTCATAACAATAAAAAAAATATTTAATTCCCCTAATTAATGTTGGGAATATGCAAATGCTATTTAGATTTAGAGATCCTAAAATGAACTCAGTTGTACTTTTGTTCATTATGACTTGCACTATTTCATTACTTGCATATTTACTTCAGTTATCAATGATGTGTCAACTTCTTATATTTACCTCACAGAATGGGTTGTCCTATTATTTCTGAATAGAAAATACTTTTTATCTTCCTAATAGAAAATGAGGGATTGGGGTCACAACCTGCAACAAATCAACATTTTAAAAGTAACAAACATACCTCTCAAATAGTGTGCTTTACCCATTTGGTGCTATGCTGAAACTTTTGCATATTTGTCTTTCACAGGAGGTTTTCCACCGTTTGTACATCATCTATACCGTTGGATACTCCATCTCTTTGGGCTCAATTATGGTGGCTGTTGTCATCCTGGGATATTTTCGGTGAGTCTACTCAGTCGCCTTATTTTATCCTTCTAACCTCAGATGCTCCCAAGGGACAGATTTTGACACCAGGTGAGGAGCTAAGGCTGGATCATCAGGGAGTCTTGATGTTTAATAATAGTGAGTGGATTCTTTTAGTCATGCAAGGAGCACATAAATGTCAAGATGATTGTTAAACCGAGCATTATCATAAAAAAAACACTATTTTCCATTTATAGGAATTAACGTAATACTGCATATGTTGCATCATAATGACAGCGTCACATATGCAAACTGTTTTAAACACTGGGTTTGATTTTCACTTTGACTTTAAGCAGAATGTGATCTGACTACCTCTGAAGCACTGACTGCCTCCTGGCTTGCATTAATGCAGACCTCATTGCCTGACATTTACAGCCTGTTTTATGTGCTGGGCTCTGATGTTTAGACTTTGTATGTGTGCTCAGAAAAAAGTCATCATTGCATAGAAACAATTGAGAATAAAATGTTGCTTCTAAAAGTTTGCTTTTGGAATAAAAAAAACTTTCAAACTGGTGCCGATAGTGCGGTGCAAGAGTACTCACAGCCCTCAAATTTTATTACATTTTGTCCCATTCCGTGGTATAAAATGTCATGTTTTATGTTAATTTTCTGTGATAATATAACTTAGAATTGCACAAAATGTATCCATTTCAGGTGTTTCCTTTTACAAATAAAAATCCCAAGATGATTCCATGCAGTTTCAAAGTCCACCTGAATCAATACTTTTCACAGTCATCTTTCAATGTAATGACAGACATAATTGCATCTTAAGTTTGAAATTTGTTACCTATTCTTGTTCTGAACCTACTTTCTTGTTCTGAAATTTCACACAATTACTCTTATGTGAAAGAGTAATTGCCCCCTAAACCTAATAACTGGTTGGGCCACCCTCATCAGCAAAGACTGCAATCAAGCATTTTTGATAACTTGCAATGAATCTTTTACTGTGCTGTGGGAGACTTCTGACCCTCTCATCTTTGCAGAATTGTTGTAATTCAGTGACATAGGAGGGCTTTTGAGGTCATGACACAGCATCTTAATAGGATTTGCGGTGGTGGTGGAAGGGCGTGGCATGTAGGTTTGGATTTTTTTATCCCTTAATAATAAACACCTTCCTTTAAGTTGTGCATTTTGTGTTTACTTGTGGTGCCTTTAACTAATATTTAAAGTGCTTTGATGTTCTGAAACACTTTAGACAAATGCATGAAAAAAAAAAGGAAATCAGGAAGAGGGCAAACACTTCTTCACACCACAGTTAACGAGGGCTGCCCAAGTCCAATCCTCGAGAGCTATCCTCCAACTGTGAGATTCATCCCTGCTCCAACACACCCGACTTGCATCTCAGAATTACCTCCTTGACATCTCATCCAGCTCTGCAGAGGCCTGGTAATGAGCCCTTGATTAGATTCAGGTGTTAAACACAAGGAATTCATTTAAGTAGCTACTCCTACTAGTAGGAGTAGTATAGTAGCTCTCAAAGACTGGACTTGGTCAGCCCCCATCTAAACCATTCCATTGTATCTCTGGCAGAAGGTTTTGAGTTGTTGTCCTGTTAGAAAGTGAACCTCCACCTAACTGGCAATTGGTTACACTGTACTTAATTTAGGAGTATCATAGTAAAGTGGCCTATTAGAGATTTTTTTGTTGTTGTTTTTGCAAACCAACCAATTAAAAAAAAAAAAAAAATCTTCCAGTTAAAATTTGGTTTCCCGATAAAAAAGCCTGTAGCGAAAAAGTTTAAGGGGTGTGAATACTTTTGCTAGGCTGTATAGTTTTTTTTTTTTTTTTTTTACTCATTTTGCCTAAAATCTTACTTCTGAAATGGAGCAAAAAAAAATCTGTAACAAGGTTGAATTTAGACCATTTTGTTTCACGCTGAGCAGATTGGTCAGTATTTGCTTATTTTGTGGGGCACGGGGAGTATCAAGAATCGATGTAAAGGCCCTGTTTACTAATGTTCCAACTAACGTAACTTACAGTACACACAGTCAGTCAGAAAGGTTTTAGGAATGCTTCCAACTGGCACCAGGAAATATACGTGCCAAATGAGTTTAATAAGTTATCCCAGGGGCCCATCTGACATTCTGGCACCAGACTGCGAAGTGTAACAGCCATGTCCCCCCTTCAACACATCAGCTTTTAGAAAGGAGAGCTCATAAACGTTTTCCAGAGGGAGCAAAGGGATATTTTACATTAGCACTTGCTTTCAGGACTTTTTTTTTTTTTTTTCCACCTGGGATGTGTGCTAGATTGGTTTTTCCTGAATCAATAGTTCTCTGAGGGCACCTTGTCAGTTCATTAATGAGATTTAGTGAAAGAAATTGTGGACGGAGCTGATGGTGGATACAGCAGTTTCATTTCTGTCTCTGGTAGATGTGAAGTCTTAAAATTTTTGGCACCAATAAATAGTCAGCAAATATTTCCTTTGCCATTTTTTTTACTGTAATAACTTAACCTTTAAGTCAAATTGAGCCCAGCGGATCGTGACGCCAAAGGTCAAGCTGCAGGGAATGCTTAGGATGTTCTGGAAGTGTTTGGGACTGATAAAATTTGCATACTTCTCCAACTGCTGCACACATGCTTGCAGTTTGTTTTACACTTTAATTTGAGCATGGCGATCTGATAACCGTGTTTTTCCTAAAACTGAAGAATGTGTTATAGTCAGCTTAGAATTCAGCTGACTCTAATTAGAATCAGCATAGTTCATATGCAATGTGGTTTTGGCCGTTCAGACACTATTGCACACTTTTATAAAACTTTTCAAACTGTTTGAAAACATTGTTTTAGTGAATGACTGTGCTGATGTTTTTTTTTTTTTTTTTTTTTTTTTTCTTCCCAGACGGCTGCACTGCACCAGAAACTACATCCACATGCACTTGTTTGTGTCCTACATGCTACGAGCTGTAAGCATATTTGTGAAAGATATAGTTCTCTACCCTGGATCTGCTTTGGAGAACATGGAGAGAGTCACAGTGGAGGACTTCAGGTCCATTACTGAAGCCCCACCTGCCAGCAAAACACAGTTTGTAAGTTAATCCCATGTCTCCTCGCTCGGCCTTTAGTAAATGCAGGAACATACAAACCTTTTTCATGTGTGGTCAAAGGCATGCCATTTCATACACAATCAACTGTTAGATCTATTTGCGCACACAGCTTATTTGAGTATCAATGTTCACTACAGTATAGCATTTTGCTTCCAAGGTGGAAGTGATGCATGTGCTGAAACTCACCAACTTTTCCTGCATTGGAGGAAATGAACTGCCCTGCCTTTCACCCTGCCAGGTTTTCACTAAGCCAGCACTTGGCTTCCCCTTTCAGAGTAGAGCTAGAAAATGGGAAATGACTGTTTACCTTTCACAGTTGCTTTAAAATACAAACATTTGTGTAATATATATTCTTACAGGTCACAACTTTTCCTGTGTTTAACTAAATCAACCAAAAACAAACTTACAGAAGCTTTTAAAGTTGTTTTTTTTTTTTTTAATGCATGTATTTTGGCTTGCTGAATTAATTAATTGAAACCGTCATTCAAGTTAATGGAAAAAAAGTAAATATCCAAATTAACACAGAAACTGGTCTTTTCCATATCATATGTTTCTAAATCACAAAAACTAAAAGATAAACAAATTTTGTAATATATGTAAAAAAAAACTATATTATGAACTATATTATAAACTATATCCTTTAAAAAGCATATCAATGATAAATCACAAAGGGATGTGCTAAAAAAAAAAAAAAAAAGGTACCAATGACACGATGGTAGCAGGGAAAGATGACATTGAATTCACAGCTATTAATGACGACACACCAGCGCAGGAGCAACAGCTGCAGCCATGTGGAGGTTTGACCTCACTTTGAGTCAAATCAATCAATGGCTAAATCAGTCTTGTCATCTGTGACGTGTCCACATGATGTCAGTACACCGCAATGCGTCTGTGTTGACATAAAACAAGTTTAATTTATTATCAGAAGTGTTCAAAGTATTTGTGGATTTTTACTTTAGACTGAGAAAGATATTTATCTTTTCAGCAATATATTTATTTCTAGATTAATGTTCATTCATTTTTTTTTTAATTATGTAGGATCCCTTATTCTTGCTACAAGGCATCTATGTAAAAGCATTAAAACCAAAATATCAGCTTTCCTATATCATTTGTTAGATACATTATTTGCTGTTTTTCCTTTTTTAGTTACAAGTAAAACCTGCAGACATGCACATCTCTAACTATAAGTTTCTCTGTGATAATTTGCTTAAATCTTTCATGTATTTCATGTAAAAGCAAAATAATAGAAATTGGCCAATAAAGTTGACGTAGAAAAAGCTTTGTCTTTTATAATTAACTGAGGCTCTGGATTGGAGAAAGAGAGGCAAAAGGCTGTGTCAAAACAACATTCCTTTAAAATGTATGCATTTCGTGATGGAGCTTTGAAGAAACTGGGGTGGCTGTATCAAGAGAGAGATTTTAAAACATTAAAATTATTAAAAGTAAAAACACATTGTTTAAAGTTGCTTTTAAATGAAGGGTTTGCTAGTTCATTTTTAATTTTTTGCAGTATGACTCATCCACAACACAAATTATTTCCATGACAAAGATCTGAACACAGAAAATAATCCGTTATTATACAATTTTGAGAGCAAGAACTACAATTGAAAAAAGCAGTCAGATCATGTTTGGGATGAGTGAACAATATCCTAATGAAATAATGAGCGTAATGACTGATCACTACAATGAATAATTTAGGGTTAGAGCAGGCTGGGTAGAAAACATCCATCCATATTCTAAAATGTTTATCCTTTCCGGGTCACCAGGGGGGCTGGAGCCTGTCTCCAGTAGTCAAAGGGCGAGAAGCGGGGTGCATCCTAGACAGGCTGCCAGTCTGTCGCCGGGCAACACAGAGACATCAGGACAAACAACCATATAGACACACATTCACACCTAAGAAAAATTTTAGTGAGACCAATGAACCTAACAGTAGTATTTACTTTTTTACTGTGAGAAGAAGCCAGAGTAGGGTAAAAAATAAACATGCATTTTAAAATCAAATACACCTTATAGACTTAATAAGGCTGCTTTGATTTTATTTGTATTACCAAAGTCTAAGCAGGGTACGAAGACATTAATTAAAAATACTTAAACAAGTTGAGTATGTTGGAAGAACACCCCATTTGTTTGGTTAATTAGTGCAAAAATAATTGTAGTCTGGATCAAATAACATGACTGATGAGCGCTAATTGAAAGTACGCACCGATAAATATTTATATTCAGACAAGATGTTAATAATGCACGAGGTTAGGGAAACAATGATAAATAAAGCATGTAAAGAAAAAAGGAAGCAAAGAGAAAAGACATTCTAGGAGTTTAAATGAGGAAAACAAAACAATTCTGGCAATAAGAACATTTTTAATTTTGTAGTCTCCTCAACATCTCATGGAGTTTCTTAATTAGAAATAATGCTACAGTGTGCCATGTTTGTCTTTAACCGTGAGGAAATCTGACAGAAATTCTGAGAAATCTTGACTGTTCATAAGCATTATGCATTAGGCCAAAAATTAATTCTGATAATTATTCAGTGCATTTTAAGTTGGTTATGGTTGTGTTTTAATTTAATTCATTTCGACTGATTCATGTTTCATGTTGCTAAGATGCAACACTCAAGAATCATGACGGTTACTTGTAGTTGCATAATTAACACTGTTATTGCATTTCAAGTGATATGTGAGTGTTAGACTCTTGAGTTTAACTTAGTTCGTAGCAGACTTAGAGAAGATTACAATTGATAAACATAATAGCAAACCAAAGACATGAAAACAATTCACATGGGTGTTTTTTTTATTATGAGTGTTGATTAATTTGCTCTGCTGTGTCTGCTTTTTTTTTATATAGATTACCTGCAAGGTGGTGGTGACCTTGTTCATGTACTTTCTGGCGACCAATTACTACTGGATTCTTGTGGAGGGTCTTTACCTGCACAGTCTCATTTTTATGACTTTTTTCTCAGACAAAAAGTATCTTTGGGGATTTACACTGATTGGATGGGGTGAGTTCTGATTATTTTATATTGCACTTATGGGACTGACCAACACTAAGTAGTGAATAATTGTGAAGTGAAAAAGGAAAAAAGAAATGACTTTCAAGATATTTTACAAATAAACAAATCTAAGAAATAAAAAGCATGGTATGCATTTGTATTCATATACTTTCTAGATTGTTCTTGCAGAACAGCTGGGAGAAAAAAAAATCTCATGCAGGAAGGCCACTGATTGCAAAAGATTTTATTTTGATGTAAAAGAGTAAAGCGGACTGGATAGAAATGTTTGCCAGACTGCTTAGATTTTTACATGATAAAAATTTTGGAATCCATGTAAATCAATGAGAAGAGTAAGTGTCCACATAATTGGTGCCTATGCCTTGAAGACTGTTGTAACATGAAAAAAAAAAAAGTAAAAGTTTTTTCAAGATACTGCATGAACATTGTTACTAGTTCTAGACAGTAGACTTTTGATCAAAAAAAACTTTATTAGGTACAAAATGTCTGAGTTTGTTTTTGTTTTTTAGTTTTTTTTTCACATTTATGAAAAAAAAAGTTAAAAGCTGTAGGAAGCATTGTTGCACCGATTGATGATATTGATTTATGAAGAAAAGTAAAAGCAGTGAGTAATAGCTCTGTCTGAACGTGGGTTTTACAGTCCCTGCATTGTACACACTGTGCGTATAGATCACAAAAGCACAGCGCATACAATGTGGATGCTGTCCTATCCAATTTCCACTCATACAGGATTGTCAAACATAGCAGTTTGGACACTTTTCAGAATAGGCTTACATGAAAGCAAATTTGAATTGTTTGTAATTAATTTCCTAGGAGTACCAGCTGTGATTGTGGCCATCTGGGCCACAGTGAGAGCCACGCTTGCTGACACAGAGTAAGTGATCTGCATAATTAATATCGCTATTATTCTTGTCAAATTTTCATACGGTAAGGCTGATGTCCATGATTAATGATGTTGAACCAAGCCTGTGTTTATAGTTTAAGTATTTTGAAGTTTCTACGTGTTCTATAGACTGGTCAGCACTTTGGAGGCCAATGTTTATCTTGAACCTTATTTAATAGGGTAAATCTTAATAGGTAAAAAAATTATTCACTTTTCACTAAAGATACAGTACAACATATAATTAGAAAATTGCTTATGATTTACATTAATTGTGCATCGCACGTACCTTTTACATTGATTTACCCATTATCATGAGCATTTGCAATATTTACTGAAAAGTGATGTCGTTGGTATTCCTAGCTATTCCTTTTGTATGCCAAGGTCCAAAAGCTTGGGACGTTAATTAAGAAATCTTTGGTTGAATACCATATCCATTTGCTAAAAGAGTTTCATGCTCCAACCCCCCACTTTTTGTTAAATGAATGAATGATTCTCAAACCCACTGATTAGTTGGTGCAGGAAAACATTTATGTTTTTGTTCATATTGCCTTGTTTAGATAGTATCTTAAAAAGGTTTGAGACGATTGACATCCAAAAAATTATTGGAAAAAAAAAATAAATGAGTAAATGAAACTGATTAATGCATCTCTAAATTACAAACTGTTCTGGAGAACAAAGATTGTTTTGTTGATACTCTTCACTGGTGTCAAGGTACATTAAGACTTTAAATAAAGGTTACTGTTTGAATGTCTGTCATTTTCCATCATTTAATATCTATTATTAAAAGCCTTTTGAAAGCGACTCCAGCTGACATTGTGGACAAGAAAGTAATGTATTACTACCCACTGTTCAACTGTCTGAGAGAAGGTTATAACATTTTTCTTTTATATTTCCAAAACAATAAAAGGAAAAGAAAAAAGAATTAGTCATTGACTAAAATTCACTTATTTTGGTCTCAACCCCTACTGGCCCTACCTGACTATGAAAAGTGAAATTTAAGGTCAAGCTTCGAAGCTGACATTAAATAAATGGAGAGAAGCTGTGATTCACTCTTAAAAAGTTCAACTCATCAGGCAAAAAATGACAATGGTAAGGAAACACATCAAACCCCTCCGATAATTACTACCACCTTCAGTGTCTGCTTTGAGCTGCGTTAGGACCCACTGACACTGTGTTCAGCACCTGTTGAGTGGAACTAGACCACATATTTTTTTTCTAAGTGGGTTGGAGTCTGAAAAACCATTTCTGTTTTACATTCCAGGTACTTCTGGGCAGGAAAAAAAAAAAATCACCCCAGCATGGCATTTATAACTTAACCATTGCTCTGAAGCTGTAAAACAGCACAGAGACAGCATTGTGCCTAGATCTAGACGCACCAGTATCGAGCTGAAAGGAGCGGATTCAGAATCAATAAATGAAATTTTCAGAGATTTTAATTCCCAGTATGGGCAAACTAGCAATTTCCTTAGCCCTTTGAATGACACAGAACATGTTAGAGAGATGTACCTGAATCTCAGGAGGAATAAATCAGTTCAAGGGGGATTAAAGTCAGAACTCTAATATGAGTGCTTTGAAAAATATAATTAGTTTTCATATAACACTTGTGTCTAGAGGCGTTATAAATCTAGAGAAGATGGAGAACAAAAACAATGTCCTATCGAATCTCTATCTCATTCCTATTATGTTGTGAAACGATGTCGGATACCATTTATGACACTAAAGTGGAGCAGAGAGATTCTGAGTCTTCTTACCCACTTAACCCTTTTTTAGCTTATTCCTGAACCCTTACCTACTCATCTTGTTGTTTATTTCTGCAGGTGTTGGGACTTAAGTGCAGGCAATTTGAAATGGATATATCAAGTGCCTATTTTGGTGGCGGTGGTGGTAAGTACATGCTTCCAGTTTGTGCTTCATCCCCATGGTGTGAGGAGAATTACACCACTTGACTGCATCTGTGGCCTAACAACTGTTGAATAAGAAAGAGCTTATTATGTTTCCAATTATACCTAATCCTAACATTATGTTTCTACTGTCTCTTCAGATTAATTTTATTTTATTTTTGAACATCATCAGAGTCTTGGCAACTAAACTACTAGAAACCAATGCTGGGAGATGTGACACCAGACAACAGTACAGGTATGGACAAGTCTTAGAAACATTTGATTCAGAATTCCTGAAGCTGCCCTTCTCGACTGGTTTATCATGACTTTTTTGCCAACATCAAGCCTTCTTCAGTGGGAGTAGATGGGATTTCATGCATTATGTACTTTATTACACCTAAAATAAAATCAAATGCAATTTTAATGCTATTTTCCTTTTAGAATATGTTGGCAATTGCAAATATCACATCAGGATTACAGGATTACATATCAGGATTACTTTAAAAATGCAAAGAGGAGGAGGCCCACGGTGAACTTATGGTGACAGTAAAACATTTTTGCTTCAAATAGTTGGAATATCTGGCCAATATTTTGGTCATTTTATAGACCTATTTCATCTCTTTCCACAAGATGATCTGGTCATCTTCACGTTTCAACCCACTTATGTTTCGTGCTCAGATATGACAACAAATGTAGTGGGGTAAACAAAAGTGTGTCGGTAGCTATAATTACAAAGTTTGCATTGTTTTGTTGTGTTGTTTTTTTTTTTTTTTAGCCTTCACTTGTTTGTGAAATTTTTAATGTTGTTGCTTTTATTTTTAAAATAATCTTCAGAATGTGAAATGTTCTGTTGCAGAAAGCTCTTGAAGTCTACGCTGGTGCTGATGCCACTGTTCGGCGTCCACTACATTATATTCCATGCCATGCCATACACAGAAGTCTCTGGAATACCATGGTTGATACAGATGCATTACGAGATGCTTTTCAACTCCTTCCAGGTAAAAAAAAAAAGTCATTGGTGTAGAAATTCTGGAAATGCCATTTCATCACTCAGGGAGCCTTTATTTGTCTTTTCATGCTAAAGAAATCAATTTGACCTGACTGGGATTTGTCCGCAAGGTTTATGTTATCACCATTCAACAGCTACAAATTGTCAAACTGTTATTCATTGTTTGGTTACTGATTTCTTAGAAGATCCTCATTAAGATAAAGAAAATGGAAGGGATAACTGATGACTGTGAATATCAAAGAAAATGTCAAATTACACAGCTTAAATGCCATATTAAGCGTGTGCTCATTGCTTGATTTTGAATAGTGTCCCTAAAACCATTTTTATTTTTTTTTCCTCTTTTAGGGTTTCTTAGTTGCAATCATATACTGTTTTTGCAATGGGGAGGTAAGAACTCCAAGAATTGTGCTTTGAAACATTCTTTTCAGTGTCAATGACTGTATAACTTATATAAATAAATAAATTATCCTTTAAGGTGCAAGCAGAGATCAAAAAGTCATGGAGCAGAAGAACTTTGGCCCTTGACTTCAAGAGAAAAGCTAGAAGCGGGAGTAATACTTACAGCTATGGACCAATGGTATCACACACCAGCGTAACCAATGTCACTGCCAGAGGACCCCTGGCCGTCCATCTCACCACAAGGCTAGGGCCAGTGCCTGTAAACGGCCACAGGAACCTTCCTGGGTATGTCAAGAACGGCTCAGTCTCAGAGAACTCTGTGCCTTCCTCAGGACAGGAACTTCACATACCTGAAGAGGAGCAGTCCGCACAAACACGGCCTATTGTGGAAGAGAAACCCACTCCTGTTGTAGAGGAGGAGAGGGAGACGGTCATGTGACCTCTAGAGGACAGCATATATCGCGATGAGAAGAGGAAAGACAAATTGTGAACACTTTGTGGATGATGTGAAGGAGGAAACTGCATGAACCAAAAATATTGGCTCTTTTCCTCCTGTAAACTGAGCCAGCACACTGCAAACTGAGGAGGCTCAAGGGAACAAAACAGTGTCTTGATTTTTCAAGCGTGGCTGAGAGACGAAGACGGCAAGTTCGTCAAGGCAGATAGTTTTTGTCCTTCCATCCGCCATCTGCCAAAGAGAATGTGTGAAAGCCTAAATCAGGGTGAAGTTTCTGACTTCGACTTCACTGCCATGACTGTTTATGTAGTTTTCTGTTCGCTTACAAGGAAAATGTGTATAAATTAAGCATAAGGTTGACAAGACATCAGCCTTACTCATTTACTGTACATTAAAGGTGGGAAACTTTTCTCAGCAAGATTTAATATGAATAGGAAAAGTCATAAATGCTACAATTTGTAAAGCATCAGTTCTACTTTGTGGCATGGTCACATTTGTTGTCCATTGACTCACATCTGTGTCAGTGTAAAAGGGAAGCTACTCAGGTAATTGGAGTCCTTTGTTGTCACACACTTTTTTTCATACTTTTCATGTGGTGTTTCAGCAAATTCTGTATCTCCAGAATCTTCAATTCTCATGAAGTTTTGTTAGTTTTGTTTTCTGTCTTTTTGTTTTTGTTTTTTTTTTGTTTTTTTTTTTGTTTTTTTTACAGCTTCAGGTTTTTTCATCAATATAAATTTCAGACTAATTAGAAGAAATATGAAGGATTGAAGTTAAATCTACAAATTCCCTAATTTTCTGTTCAACAACTATGGTCACACTTGATCATGGACCCAGTACTATCTAGGAACTTTCATTAAAATCCCTTGGTACTTTCCTTGAACTGACATTTTCAGGCATTTTCCTGCCGGGTAGTTTCTGGAATCAAGCTTTAATACAAGGTTGACTAATCTTGGGTGCTTTCTGGGGACCTGCCAAGAACCTCCATGGACCTTACATATAGTGTTTTTCTTTTAAATCTCCTAGAATTTACTTGTAAGTAAATATAAACAATATGTAACTTTCATAGTAGTTACCACCTACTTTCCACTACTTATAACAACTGTGCCGTGTTATAAATTGATGTACAATTTAATAACATTTTAAATGAAATTATTGAGTATTTTTAGGAGCTTGACTGTATTGTGAGTTGACTCATAATGAGTACTTTCCTGACTTCAATGAATTTTCACAAACTGTAGCAGTATATGTATATATTTTGGCATTATGGAAGAATGTTGCTTGTCACAAATATGTTTCTTGAAAATTCAATGAAAGTTTTATAAAACCTCCATAAGAGTTTCAGAAAACCATCTGATAAGTTCCATGAAATTTACATTAAATTCACCGGCAACCTCAATAAGAGCACAGTTTAC